AGGTCTGTTCTATGAGGGGCCTGAAGCAACAGGAAGACTCCGAGAAGCGAACAGTCTGACACCAATGGTAACGCCCCGGAAAATCCAAACTTTGCAATCGCCAAAGAGGAGCCGAGACAAGCGGGGCTGTGCACAAGGAGCGGCAAGCCAGCGGCAGACAAGTCCACGGCAAAAACTGAAGCATCCGAGCAAGACAAACCAAGAATCGATGACAAAGTCTCCAAGCAAGCGCAGCTGTGCAGTAGCATAAAGGCTCCTAAAACCTGGCAATCTGGGGCAAAAAGCGGCGAGCCAACGCAAACTGAACTCATTGACAAGAGGGCAAAGCCTAAATGCTGGAAGCTTCTCGTTAGTGCCACCACTCCGGGGCAGGCAGGATCCAGCACAAATGGGCTAACACCCAGTCGAGCCAACTGAGAAACCAACACTAAAAGACCTGCACAGGCTGGGCATCGGGTTGGCATGAACAAATCCAGCGATGCGACATCCAACGCAAGCAGCGGAGAGCCTGACCTGGCAATGCCCGCAATTGCCGGCACAAAGTCCAAACAACTCGAAGATCGCAAAGCTGTAGACATGCCTGCCTGAGCAAAGTCAGGCGCTGCGGCAGAGAAGTCAAGTCTGACCAAGCCAGCTGCTGGCAATGAAGCATTCAGGCATGAAGAGGATTGTAGTAAAGGTGTTGGCTCCAGGCAGCTGAAGTCAAAAGCAGGCGCGGAGAGGCTCACATGGGCGAGGCTGTGAAGCAATGGCACAAGACCCGAGAGCACCACATCTGTGACCAGTAGCAAGGAGACTGATCCAAAGCGGCTGGCTCCTGGCGCAGAGGGTGACAAATCCATCTGGGCAGCACTGCGAATCAACAAGGAGGAGTCGAAATGGCTGTGGCCCAACACAAATAAGGCCAGGCCCAGGCAAGCAAAGGACCGCATGAACGAGGGTGGCTCCAGCAAGGCAGGCTCAATGACAAACGGCGGGAAAACGGGGCCGAGGCGTGTCAACCCCAAAACCACTGCTGGAATGCCAAACCGGGCGGGGCTTTGGAGCATTGACGTGCTCCCAAGGCAGGCAGAGTCCAAGGCAGGCAACATTAAACCTGTGCATGAAAAGCTCCTGGGGGCTGTAGAAGCTCCCATCTCTGCTGAATCTGGGGCAGGAAGGGGAAGTCCAAGATGAGAGAGGCCGCAAAGCAAGGTCGCAACACCGCACCGTGCGAGGCTCTGGGCCAGCAGCGCAGCATCCAAGCAGCTAAAGTCCAGAGTTGCCAAGAGTGCGCCGAGCGAAGCGATTCCGGAAACGAAGGCTGGAAGATCCACTCAGGCTGGGCCATGAGGCAATGAGGGCGTTCCAGAACTTGCCAGGCCTAAGGCCAGTGCTGCAGCCCCTGCTCAGGTGATGCTTCGAGTTGCTGGCGAAACACCGAGCTGCGTCAAATCAATCACCAGCAAAGGGGAAACAAAACCAGGCCGAGACAGGCCCAGAACTGACAAGGACACTTCGAACCAAGCATGGCTCCTCAACAACAGCGGCAAATTTAGGTGCCCGTGGTCCAGAATCGGAATCACAACCCCAAATTGAGAAAAGCTTCGCGCCAAAATTGCCGGAGCAAGGCAAGCAACGTCCAGCACGGGCAGCGAGAAAAAGAAGCCTGCGCAAGCTAAGCCAGGGGTTGGCAGAGAAGAGCCTAAACAGCCGACGGCATGCAAAGGTAGGACACTGCCCAATTGCGTGAAATCCAGGGCAGGTGATGTGGTGCCCAACTGAGAAAGAGCCCGCAGCAGCACCAAAGGCCCGACCATTACGAGGTCTGGTGCAGGCGACATAGGCTCTGCTCAAGCAAGGCTGTGGGGCATCAGCGGGGCACCAAGGTCAGAAGAGTCAGGGGTGGGAAGCGACAAGCCCAAGCAGTGCTGCCCAAAGGGTGGCAAGGCTGCACCAAAGCGGGTGCACGCTCGTAGTGGCAAGGGGACATCGGCATGGTGGAGGCTAAGCACAACCAGAATGAATCCAAAGCACGCGAAACTACGAAGTGCTGGCAGAGAATCGGAATATGCGAAATCCATGGTCAGCAAAGGCGATTCCAAGCAAGCCATGCCGGCAGCTGGCAGGGAAAAGGCACACCATGCAAAGCCTTGTGGCAATGGAGATGCACCCACTGCCGCAGCACTCAGCACCGGCACTGACAAATCCAAACAAACATGGCCCCGGGCCAGCAGCAACAACTCCAAAAGGGTATAGTCCAGCACAGGCAAGGAGAACCCAAGGACCGAGCGAGCAGGAGCTGAAAGAAATGCTCCTAGGTGAGAAGTTGATCGCAAGGGAAGCGCAGGTCCCATCTCAGAAAAATCCAGCACAGAAATGGCAGCCTCTGAGCATGCGAGAGATTGTGGTAACAGCGCAAAATCAAGCCACGTGCAGTCAAGCACCAAAAGCAAGGGCTCCATACGGCCTATACCTACTGCCAATGTCGAAGGCTCAATCTGGGAAAGCGCTTTCAATGACAAGGGCAGGTCTGAAAATGCAGAGTCGCAAGCTGTCAAAAGCAAGCCTGGTCATGCGGAAGCCTGCAACAACACAGGAGCGCCAAGTGAGGAAGAATCAGGGACAAACAGAAGTGCCTCCGGACACAATACACCGCTGGCCAACGGGGCGGCATCCAAACACGCAAGCATCCTTGCAAGCAATACCGGACCTACGTGCAGGCAGCCCAGCGCTGACATGGCCAAATCTGGGCAGCCGAAGCTCTGCGAAGGCAATGCACTGCCCAATTGCGAGCAGTCAGGCACAGCAACAGTTGAACCCAGCCAAGAAAGGCCAAACGAAGGTGTGGCAGCAGCAGGATGGGTGACACTGTGGAGTGGTGGCGATGCGCCAAAGGCGGCGCAATCAGGAGCAAGCACAAAGGCGTCCAGTCAGCTGAGCCCGCGTGAAAGTGAAGACGCGTCCAGAACGGAGCTGTCCGACAAGGACAGAGAGGCATCCAAACGGAATTGCGAAACAGCCAATAATGCGGAGCCCAGGCAGGCCGCGCTCTTTAGCAAAGTTGCTGAGCCTGGGTTGCTCAAAACCAATGTCAACAGCAGAAAGTCTATGTGACACATGCTCCGGATCAACAACAGGGCACCCAAACTCAAAAGATCAAGCACTGCAGGTGGCGTTTCTGACCGACCGGAGCCAAAAGCTGTCGGCGCGGACGCTGGACGTGACAGAGACTGTGGTGACATCATCAACCCCAACTCAGCTAAGTCCAAAACTGTCAAAGGCACGTCTGAGTTGAGCTTGCCAAAGGCCAAGGGCGGAGAGCCGTATCAAGCAAGGCTTCTGACAAAAACTGAGCTGCCAAAGTTGAAGTGGGCATTTGAAAAAATGAGCTGTTTGCTCGCATATGTGGTGAGCTGTAGGTGATACTCGTATGTTGTGGCCAGGGACCACAAAGGATTCCCGCGGTAACTGAAGATCACAGATGGCTGCACGTTGCCTTCGCTGGTCGGAGCCGGATTTAGCTCCAAAGGCGCGGTGAGCATGAAGTTGCCATCTTTCCTTAGTTGCCCGCTTCCCTCCCTGTGTTCGACAAACGTAACATGCTAAACGTAGTGCTTGTTTGGCAACTGGGACAATGACAGGATGAGACACAAATGAAGAATTGAAGACTTTCAACGCTAAACTTGAAGCATGAGCCATGTGTAACACCGCCAGTGTACACAGTCGAGCAACTTGCTTTGCAGCATCCAGCTGCGGGAGGTACAGGCAAGACTGCGAAATAGAGTGTGCCAATGACTCTGCATTCGCGAGTCATGGTCCAGGTTCCCCCAACCAGTGTCGTGCCCTTCCTCGCCTTTCCGAACATCCAATTGCAGCTGAGTTTCTTCATCATCAGCCATGCTTCTGGCGTTCCCCAAGCCAAGCCTTTCGGAAATCAGAAGTTTCCAGTGTCGCGAAAGCAAACTGGAAATAAAGCTGTCGTAGCCGTAGGTGCCAGCAAGCGGCAGGCGATCGTAATAAGCAGGTGGACGGACATCGATGCTAACCTGGGGAGATTCAAGTTGCCACAGCAACTGCAAATGCAAACCCGCTGCTGGCCTCTCAAACTTGGCACAACATACGTATCATTAAGTATGCAACTTTGACGTCGCCGCCCATGCCGTCTCAGACCTTAGAAAGGCTCATGTGTCCACGCCGTGCCAGTGCTGAATCTGAGTGTGGTGCTCCTCTGCTAGGCGCCTTGGTTGCAAGCACACATTCGAGATGTGATCCGGAGAAGCTGGCGGAGAATGTGATTCGCGCTTGAATCCCCAATTGTGAATCCCGAATCCCGAATCTCGAATCCTGAAGCCGGACCAGAAGCTGGGCCTTCCCAGTCCCGAACCACTCTTTGGAGGATGTGGGATTTAATCCAGAAAATGTGATGAAGTCCCGAATCCCGAAGCCCAACAACGTGGTGTAGCCCCAAAATGTGATTAAGTCCCGAATCCCAAAAGTGTGATTTATCCCAAAAGTGTGATTAAATCCCGAAAATGTGATTCAATCCCGACTCCCAAATCTCGAAAATGTGATTTAAGCACGAATCCCCAAAAATGTGACTGAATCCCGAAATGTGATTAAATCCCGAAATGTGATCAAATCCCGAATCCCGAATCCCAAAAATGTGATTTAATCCCGAAATGTGATTAAATGTCGAATCCCGAAACTGCGCACAACCTCTGGATCACCACTCACACATTCGTCGCAAACTTGTTGGGCGGAACAAAAACGCTTTGTACCATCCACTTCATGTACCCTTTCGCCCTAAATTGAATACTCGTTTCCAGGACGTCAAGCACAGGGCGATTGCAGGCAGGAAGCCATGAGGCTGGGCATCACCGCCCCGCACATGGCATGAGGGCGGTGTTTGTGGCAACCGAAGTTGCCTTGATCCAACGCGCACACAGTGACCTCCGTTGCAGTGAAGCCATGGACAATTGCAAGTGGATCTCTGCCAGCTCGCACTGGCACTGGATTTTCACTTACCGCTTTTCTGTCCCTCAAGCCGAGCAAGACTCTAAGACGCTCTAAGACGCTCAGAAGCAAGCCTGAAATAGTGGGAAATGGTGGGCCACATCACTAAAATGTTAGGCAACGACAACTGCGATATACAAAACCTATGAGAAGTGTGGCCGCAGTCGCCTGTCTCAATGTCCAAACAGGTACGCCCGGATCATGATACCAATTTGAAGCTGTTGAGCACGGATTCAGCTGACCGCACTTCCTGCTCTACAGCAAGGCGAGCCTGAGATGCAAAAGCGACAAGCCGCGCAACATAGTGGCATCGACAAAACATATGGCTGCACAGTGCGAAGCGCAAACAAGCACCCACTGAGATCCGCATCCAAACTCTGAACAACTCACGATTTTCCCAATGCACCCGTGAAAATCCAACCACTTGTAAGCGTGGTCAGTGTGGCAAGAATTCAACAAATCCGACCAACAAAAAGTCAAGCGGCTTGCATCATGTCCGTTGCGAAGGCTTGATGCGCGTGTGTGTGAAGCCTTTCAAGCTTGACTTTACTCTCGTTCTGTGCAACCTCTGCCGCTAATCTCAGGGTGGGGCTCCCGTAGCTTGCGCGTCGTTTCAAGCAATTCTGCCTCAGCTCTCCCATCTCTCCCTGCCAGGAGTCATCTCATTCTACTGCCATGTTTTGAAGCAGAGTCGCGGCATAATCAGCTTCTGTTTCTTTGTTCTCCTTTCTTGGAACAGGCACATGACGAGTTTTCCTCGCAGAGCAAAATGTCCTGCAAAATGTGTCGCCTTTCTTCGTAAAGAAGCTTTTCGGCTTCTATGCAGTCCTGCCGCAGCACACACCCACAACAATTTACTTACTCCCACGCACACGCATGCTCCGGGTCTAAAGCTGGCGCATCACAACACAAGCAGACACACAGCACACACAGAGCAAAACAAAATGATACAAAATGCAAACATTGGAATTGACAAGCAGTCGTCACTCATGCCGGCCGCAGTCCTTCAGCTGCAAAAGCGATTCTTTCGAAACCTGGCTGCCAAAAGAAACACCCCGGTACCAGCTGAACAGGAAGGCATGGTTGGGGGCCATCCCGGCTCCAACACACAAACCCGAAATTGCGCAACTGCTTTTGGCTGAGTTTCTGGCATCTTGTGGCAACGTGCCAATTGAAGAACAGTGTGTCCTGGCAAGCCCGCTTGATCAAACCAAGCTAAAATGAAGACATGACTCAGGCTGCAAAACTGAGAGGGGTCTGCTTACAAAGATGTCTCAGTTGATCCCTGCTGTCCGCGTTGTTGCCCACAAAGCGTCCAGCGTCCGCAGCCTGGCAAAGTTTGCCATGACTAATGTCGGGGCGCGAACGTGAATCCAGCGTCTGCGAAATCATAACCCGCGCAACTTGTTGGAGAAGCCCTTGTTGTTGAGCATCCTCATACTCCGCAGCTGCCCCTTGGTCCTGGCACTCTTCTGCCAAGGGTTGCTCTCCATGCATCTCAACATGTTCTCCTGCAACTCTCCAACCTGGTTCGTCACTGACCTTTCTCCATCTCGGGCTGCCTGCATCAAACTATCCGACATGTCCACTGCCAATCGTAAGCATGCCTCGCCCAAAGCCGCCACCAAGGCCGCAAGGACAAGGCAATGGTTCATCTGGCCCTGCCGCGAATTCGAGCACTTGCTGCACAGCCCAACTTGCCTGCCAGGGTTCAGCGACAACGCTGCGTGTCGCCAACCAGCAATGGGTTTTTGGCACAGCCGCTCCTGGACAGCCTGCCTCTGCTATAGACACGGGAGCTCTGTTTCCATGGGAACACTGCTCTCGGGCGGCATGCTGTAAGCCACTGAACAGCGAGCCGCCCTGGTTTCCGCCAAGGTCGCTTCATGTTTTTCACTATTGTGTGTGTGCGCTTGGCCGACATGCAAGCATACAAAAAGCAGAAAACAGCTTGCCCCAACAAACCACGCACAAGCCCAAGCAAAAGCGAAATAGGCAAAAACTGCGACAAAACGAGGAGCACGCACTGAAGATGAGCAGGATGTTTTTTTCTCGCGCGTTTTTTTCCATCCAGCTGGGGTGAAACACAAGGACCCTCAGGCGTCCGGCGCCCAGCGGGCGTCGCACACGACGTCGCCCTGCGGCGGCGCCCCGGCAGCGGCGGCGCCAGCGTCGGGAGGAAGCGAGCCGAGGCTGGCCGCGAGCGCGCCCTGCGCCGCGACAGACAGCAACTGCCCCCACCGGCGCGCGTATGCGGCGGCAACCTGTCCGCGCTGGGTTTCGGGGCTTTGCCCCTCGCGAGGCGGTGCAGGAAGGCTTCCGTCTCGTCCCCCCAGCGCCCCCCAACCTCGAGGGCGACGACAACGAGGCGGCACTGCGCCGCGACCCGGAATCCGCGCCAGGGTGCGCGGGTGCCGCGCGCCGATAACCGGCATGGAGTCGGCCCAGGACGACCAGTACGCCGCGAAGCGAGACGCGGCTGCCGATCGGAGCCCGAGGGCCCCGCCTGGCTGCGAGCTGGCGCGGGTCACGGGCGAACTCCGGGTCACCAAGCAGGTGCTGGAGGCCTTGCGTGACGGCGTTGTCGCGCGACTCCGCGTACGCCTCCGTCTCGGCGGGCGGGGGCACTCCCAGCAAGTAGTTGCTGCGCGGGATGAGCCACGCCCTTTGCAGGTGGGGCACCGACGGGATGCGCTGTAGCAGCGCATCGTGCTTGACACGCATGTCCTGGAGGCTGTGGGCTACAAACTCCGGATGCCCCACCGGCGTGCCCAGCACGGCAAGCCCTTGCTGGTCTGGAGCGCGCGCCCAGCGGCGCGCGCGTCGGGGGGAAGCGTGAGCAGGAGAGCTGCGTTCCTCGCCTGCTGCGTTCCATGCCCGTGTTTTGCCCCCCACAAGGCGATGCCCAAAGCATCGGAAAGTGGCCCGGTGCGATCGGGCGTGCACGTCATGTAGACGTCGTCCACGCATAGAGATCGTCGCCGGGGCGGGCGCCGAGTGCTGCCCGAGGGCATGCAGAGCCGGCATGAGCGGGTCGCCCTGCTCGCCCCCTTCAGCCTGCGTCATGTCGTGCGCGACCCCGTCCTCATCGTAGAAGAGGCACGTGCTCGGCTCAGAGTAGAACTGGGCTTTCTTAGGCTAGCGCCGCTGCACCGGAGCGACGACAAAAAGGTGGGAACACTAGGACGTCGCGAGTTTTTGGAGCGCGCCCCCTCGGTGTGTGCATTTTTACAACATTCTGCAGGAATTGCCGTGGCGCCGGGAGAGGGCGAAGCATCAACATAACCTCCGCGTGTTTGTGTCAGAGCTGAGAACATAATGGTTTGGTCGCGTGGGCAAGCATGCTTGCAGCGCAGCTCCTCTTTGAAAACGTGCGGGGCAGGTGTTGGCGCTCCGGCCACCCGCCGGATCTGGCCCGCGGACTGTTGCTTGTGTCAGTCGCACGGTCGAGCTGGACAGTCCGAGGCCAGCAAGTGGCGATCCGGCACTTGAAGCTTTCCGTGCGCCATGGGCGAGACAAGACCCACGGCAAACCCAGCGCCGGGTTCAAGTGCGTCAGAAGTTCGTCGCGCAGCACGCCGCATCCCTCCCCAGCGCACTGAGCATACGGGTTCGAGCGGCACAGCGGGCAAAGCTCTTGCGCCCTACCCGGAGCTGCGCCACGCAGTCCAGATGGAACCGGCGACGCCCACAATGCGCCTAGACTCTGGCCTGAGGGTGGCATCCTCGCGCAGCTCGTCAAAACAGATGACAAAGGCCTCCCCGCCTGGGAACGGCGCCGCATCCCGGCGGGCGGGGCGTCGGCCCTATGCTGGAGGAACGCCCGCATTTGCTGTTTCTCTCCTTTTTTTTTCCTCCCACGCGCCTTCTTCCATCCAGCTGGGGTGACACACAACGGCCCTCACGCGTCCGGCGCCCAGCGGGCGTCGGACATGACGTTGCCCGGCGGCGGCGAGGTGGTGGGCCCTCCACCAAAGCTCGCGGCACGGTGAGGGCCTCAAAGCTGCACTTTTGCTACATTAACCCGGTTAGCGCGGGAAGGGAGGAACTCATTTGGACCAACGGTTGCGTGCGCCGCCATTTGAGAGCCATAAATCGCTGCAACGAGGATGCTGCAGCGCCGCTCCGATGTTTGGTGCGGCGGGCTGCTGCTGAGATAGTCGTGCGTCAGGCTAGCGAACGAGTTGACCGTGCCGCCAACTCTTTTCTCCGCACCTGTGCGCAGTGTTTTTTTTGCTGCACGGATTTTCCAGCCGCATGCTGACGAAATTCGCAGCAAGTGAGGCACACTCGAGTCGTGCTTGCTTGCTGGCGGCTTTTTTTTTACATTCGTTGTTGTTGTTGGGGTTGGTGGTTTGCGGGCGCTTACGTGTACAGTAATGCAACGTGTTCTGCCGTCCTAGAACTGTTGCTGCGTGGAAGGAGCTGGCCTGTTTCCAGCGTCATTTTGGGTAGAGGTGGGAGGGACCATGAAGCAAGTGGCCTGTCGCCCTGGAGTGGAGAAAGAACCAGCATATCCTCGGGCAGCACAGGCGCGAGACATGGGCAAAGGCGGCCAGAACGACCTGGCGGCTGCAGCAGCAAAAGCGGCCGTGGCAGCCATGCGCGGCCACTGAGGCAGCCTTTTTTGCCTGAAGCTCCGTGTTTTTACAGGTGGCGGCCGCGTTTTGCGGCCGCGGCCGAGACTTCCCATACCGCGCGGGGAGGGGGGGAAAAAAAAAACAGCCCTGCCCCAGCGCTGGCGTGCTCGTTTGCCGCGCGGGCCCGCTCGAGAGCGCCGTCGCCCGGTTTGTCGCGAAGATGGCGCGCGGGTAGCGACGAACGTTTTCCTTCGCGACCTCAACCTCGGAATGTCGTTGTCCGACGGGCGATGGCTGAAGGTCGTCGCGAACGCGGCCAGCCTCAGTTCGACGCCGGCGTTGCGCTGCCGCTGCCCGGGCGCCGAGGCTCTCGCCCAGACGCAGCCGCAGCCACAGCCCACTCACCCCGCGTCGGCACCGCGATGCGGGTGGCAAAGGCAAGGGCAGCGATGGCAAGGGTGGCGGGGGCAGCCGCGTTAACCGTGGCAAAAGCAACGGTGGCAAGCGCGCGAGGAAGGCTTCTGCCTCCCGTGTGTCACGGTGGCCACGGTTTCGGCACTTTGCTGGATCCTGTCTACCTCGCCGAGGAATTGTGCCCACGCTGCAAGACTTCCCTGGGTTTTTTATTTTTCCAGCGGAATGCCAAGGCTTTGGGTTGGCGCCGGCTAAAACGGACCGGTCGTATCGCGCGCAAGGTCCCCAAGCTGAGCTTTGCCAAAGCATCATCGCTGTATTTTGCCGGGCCTCCTGTGCGCGGGACTGCGATGGGCGAGGCCCTCCGGGCGAGACCCTCCCAGGCTGGTCGCTACCAGTGCCGAGGGCGGCGGCAGAAGCGTTTGCCGAGGGTAGGCGGGCGGCGGGCCGGATCGGACAAAGCCCTCGTCGCCGGGCGCGCGCGCAGTGGACTTAAGCGTCCTTTTTCAAGGATGGATCCAAGTGAATAGTTTTCAGCTCGCTGACCGACGGTCACTGTGGCGGAATGCTTCATTTCACGACAATGTTTTGAGGGTCTGGTTGTTGTAAGGATGGGACCCGGATCTGAGCACAAGCCTGCTCGCGCAGACATGTCTGTCGGCTTGGGGGGCTTGACGAAGAATGCGCAAAGCCGGGGAGCGAGCGCGTTCCAGGGCCTGGGTGCCAAAAGCACATGTTTCCACGCGCGTTCCTGCGCACCGCCAGCACGCGGCAGAACGCAGGAACTGCCTGCACTGCGGGGATGCGAGCGGCGATCTCCGCAGCACGCGGCAGTTGGCGGCGCAGCGGCTGTGGGCTTGGTCGGCGGGGGAGGGCACAACTGGAACGGGTTTGCTCATCGACGCCCTGTCTGTCTGGGTCTGGCTTTGTGCGGGCGCTGTTGGTGGCGGTGCACCCGCGCCATGCCCAGATGCTGCGTAAGGATGCCTTGCGCCGCCGATGGGATGTAGTGCCGACCTCACGGTGGGCGAGGAAGCGCCCGAGAAACTCTGCGCTGGCAGCGGCCTCGGCCACCCGTCAGCCGCGGCTGTGTAACCGCCGCCCGCCGGCACAGCCCGACACTCCGCCTCCGGCTGTAGAAGGCCACGCACGGCCAGCAGCATAGGCACGTAGTCTCGCGAATTGGTGGGCGCTTCCCACCCGGCTGCCAGGGGTGCCCAGGCCCTGCAAGGACTTTATCAAAAGTGTTGGATGCTGCCACGTCACCCGTCAAGTTCTCACTCCCAGGCCCGGCGTCGCTCGACAGACAGTCCTTCCTTTATCGCGGCCGGAGCGACAACTTCCGGTTTTGATGTCTGGCAGTTTTTGCACCCACAGTGAATGTGGTTTGATCGCCCTTGGCGCCGATTTGGGAACCCTCGTTCTGCCCCGGCAGCTCCAAGCGCGGCAGCTGGCGACGTCCATTTCGCCGCACGCCGCGCGTCGCGGCGCATTTGCGCATGGCTGCGGAGCGCGCGTCGATTCAGTAGGGGGCCATGCCGCAGTTTGCCGTCGTACAGGCTTGCTGGGCACACCCCGAGCACGTTTGGGCTTGAGGTTGTTGGTTGCGAGGGGCAGGTTGTCCCCTAGCAATAATTCGAGAGAACAACAGCGGTGGCGGGGGTCTCAGTGCCTTGGACTTGGGCGTCCATGGCGCCAAGTCGTTTTGCCGCTGGTGCCCCACGGCCAACCACACGCGGTGCTTGCTTTGAAGCTGGCCTCCGTTGAGCACGTTCACCTTGCTTGAGGCAAGGCTGGGCGGCTCGGGGTCTCAGCTTGGCTGACGCCTGTGTTTCGTTGTCAAAATTTCAGTCT